CACTCACTAGCCCAAAATACAAAAACATACAAATTACATTAGTATGAAAATGCCGAAATTTTGTCTTTTTAATTTCAAAACGTTATTAAAAAATATTCTGAAAACAGAGAGATATATTTTATATACTTCAAAATTTTTGAAAACTAAACTGACTGAGTTTTAAAATATATGAATCATTTCTTCATTGAATTTATGTTGTTTCAAACAATCATTTCAACATATTCTTATATATACATATATTAATATTTTATTATATTTGTATAATATACACCATCTGTAATCAATACTTGAGCTTAGATCACCAACTAAATTGAAGAAGAGACCCAACCACTCTATCTACAACTCTTCTTACACTAAGAACTTGCTTCGAATTGCTGTCTTCAACATGATTGCGTTGGTTAAACCGCGTTAAACGAGTTCTCTTAATCTGATTTGAATGTTGCTTTTTTTCCTCTCACTCAGGAAGCCCCGAAGCCTGAGGAAAAAGCAGCTGAGATCACCCGCGAAAACTCATTGAGCATAAAGATGGGAGAAGAAGTGGGAGAGTTAGATGCTGCAGAATGTGATGTGTAATCAGCCTCCCGATATCAGGTATCTCAACATAGATAACATCACGTTATGCTCAAGATAGTATAGTCCCTTTGGCTGCAATCAACACACTAAAACCCCTTGTTTCTCTCCAGGTCATATGACACGTTGGTTTTTTTAAGCTTTCCTGACACATCATAAAAAACCATCAGCCAAGTCAATAGAAACATTTGAATTAATACAGATCAGCTTTTTACTTTGATAAGAAAACCACGTCATCTTAAAGAAACCCTCTCTCTCTCGCTAAAGTGTCACTCCGAAATGTGGAAATCGATTAGGCCACCTTCATCGATTTTTAAATTTTAGTGACAAGCTATGTTCTTTGAATTAAATCGTATGGAGCTCAGATCTTTGCGGTGATAAGTGATTTCCATCGATTTGTGGAAATGGACCATCGGAAAAGTGAGGAATTGTTTCAGAGGTCGAAATGACTCTACGCCCAGAGGCTCGGTGTTGGAGCTCCGGTTTACAAGGCCGCCGTTCTCGAGTATCTCACCGGCGACGGAAGTTTCTCGATTCTTTATTAATCTGCAATCTCAATCCCATACATGTATCTCCATTCATTTTTTATTCAATCCTTTCTGGCATTCAAATGTGGCGAGAAACGCGGCTGCGATGATCAGAAAGCTTGTAACTTGATGATCTGGGTGTTGGGTAGTCATCTAAAGTTCAACATAGCTTGGTATTTGATCCGTGATATGTTTCATGTTTCAAGGAATACTAGAAAGGCCATGTTTCTCATGATAGACAGGTTAAAGTTTCGTCTTCTTTTTAGAATTTCTGTTCACCTTAAGAAATGAAAAAGTTCCTCTTTTGTTGAATTTGTTTGTGATATAGAGATTTTACAAAGTATTGAATTGGTTTGTCTTGCTATTGAGTGTAGATATGCTGCTTTATAATATGCCTCTTGATTTTGTGATTATTTTGTGAAGCTTAGGTTTGTGCTTATTGTTTGTTGCTCTAACCAATTTGGTTTTTTATTCTATCCACTGTTGATTTGATTTCCCCTCAAACTTCGCTTTGTTTCCTTAGATGTCGGATAATTTGGATAAAAGCTGAGAAGTTGGAGGATTTAGGAGCTAAAGTTACGGGGTTATAGTTGAGAAATTGGAAGAATTAGGAGAAATAAATTTACCTCTAAAAGAAATGTAGTTTTGATTTTGGTTAGTTTCAGCTATCTGATTTTTTCAATGGGTCTTCAATTGCCGTGGAGCTTTGATGTTCGTTCATGCTCTGAATAGCAAGAAAGATCTCCAAAACAACACCTCCGTGTAGATCATGTAGCTGATGATGTAGCTTGGAAGAAACAATACAAGAAGTTAGCTCTTCTGCCTCATCCTGATAAGAACAAGTTTAGCGGCACAACAAAGGCGTTTAAGTTGGTTTCAAAAGCTTTGCGTCTGTTATCTGATCATTCTAAGTGAATCACTTATGATCAAACGAGGAAGTTTAAAGAAGTAAAATCGTTGGAAGAAGTAGAAACCACCAAAGCCAAACGATCTTGCTTCTTATAAGCGTATAATTTAGAAAGTTAGTACCTTTTGGACTGCGTGCAATGGATGCAAGGCACATTGTATGTTTGGGAGGTCTAATTATCTAAACAAGACCTTGTCTTGTCCAAATTGCGGTTAGAACTACAATTGCGACAGAGCTAATTCCATAGATAGTTGATGGGGGACCAGTCATCAGATTCTCACCTCCTCACCAACAAGAACAAATCAACTGCTAAATCTCAAGAAAGAAACGAAAGGACAAGTGCTACTTCTTAAGCATCTTATGTCGCAAATGGTGCATATGAAGTAGGAGAAAGAGTTAAAAGAGGGATTGAGGAAGAGTCACAAGAGACTGTTTCTTCTGCTGCTACAAGAAATGTGGACTCTACTAATGGAGCAGAGAGGAAAAGCCGATGACAACAGAAGACGCAAACTCTACTTTCGAAGAAGTGGATATGTTTTTTTTTAGTCGAATGTATATCAGTTATTGTAGGAGCAAGCTTTTTTGAGGAAGAAGAGAATACTAATGACAAAGAAAGTCGTGTAAAATGAACACAAGTCCTACGAATGATAAATTAAATTAATTACTCGAATCGTTTGTGTGAGTTAACGAAAATATTGTTGAAAGATTTAAAGTGTTAAATAATTCTGAAAATGTGTACACGTTGAAGGCAATTAAATAGTAAGAAACATAAAATCGTAAAGCATGAACTTATTATAACTTGGTGATATTTCCATCAACAACCATGTTTATCAGTGAGTTATACAAAAAACAAAAGAACAAGATTTGAAATTTTGAGACGTGGTTTTGTAGGACAAAGACAAAGGTGGAAAAAATTATAATCGACTTCAAAAATTAAAAAGCACTAAGGTGGCAAAAAATAATAACATAACAAACAACAAAATAAATTCCAATAACCCTATTCACTAACATCAAATAAAACTTGTTCAATATCAAATCCCGCAGCGTAGCGCGGGTCAATTTCTAGTTTCTATAAAGATTAGGGAAAATCTATTTAAAAAAGTGCCCTTCCATGGCATCATTCAAACCATCAAACATTCAACTTCTCGGGAACCTAGCAACTAATTGCAAACCACCAATTCAACGAAAAAACCTTACACATTTTTTCAATTTGGTTTTCTAAAAAAGGTCGAGACAGTAATAAAGCCATGGCCATATTACAAAATATTTTATTTTTCTATTTTATAAGTACATAGCTTTTTATTTTACTTTTCTTTTCATGGACAAATTTACAAGTGAAGAGAAAATAATAAGATTAGATACAAACAATAGTATCCTTTTCTTGACAATTTCTCTTTTAAAAATGAGTTTTACACTAACACCAAAAAATAATACCAATGGAGATGATTTAGTTCTCTTTAATAAAAAAATGTTAAACAAATATCCAATCCTAAAAATATAATATTCACAAATTTAATTAACTCAAAAGTTGGAAACAGCACATATTAGTGATACAAAATGTTTTGTTAACATTTGTAGACTAATCATTATAGAAAACTAGTATTGAAATCTGGTGAACACTCAGCTCTGTTCACCTCTATTCACTCTCGTTCCCACCGTCGGTGGACTGAAAAACATTACCACTAATGCATAGTCTAGATGGGGCTTACGACGAGATCTCTTAAAAACTTGTGGACTCTATCGAATTTTCAGTTAAGCAAAAGACTTGTTGAGATATTAGATGAGTTGTTTTGTTTTGGGATTTTGATAACGAGGATCATTTGATAGAGTTTGTCTTGTGTCTTCTTGTGCATTTGTTGTTCAAACAACTATTCCCTCGTACATCTTATCACATCCTACAACAATCATCCATCACCATCATCATTAGATTCATTATCATCATCATACAAATATATATATATATATATACAAATATATACATGTCTATTTTATATTTATATGGAAAATAAACACAATCACGGCTGACATTGAATTCCATGTAGGTTGCGTTCTTGTCTAGCCATTGCGTGTCCATTGCTGCAAAGGCCACACAGTAAAGCAAATCAAATACAGTACCTATTTGTTTTCTATATTTTCCAAAACTTAGTGTAAAAAATCAAGTAATTAGAGAGCCAATGATTGATTATAAATAGATAGAGAGATATGATTACATATTAAACATGACAGCTTTTGTAAGAAAAGTAGAAAACAGACCATACAAAATTCCTAGGCTTGGCTGCACATGTGTAAAAGAATCAAAACAAATCTTGTTTCACAAGCTAAGGCAAGACATAAATGGATAATGAGTGAGTGGCTGAGCGGATACTCCCATGCTTCTAGGTCCATCATTTGCAAATTATGTTTTAAAACTAATTCAGAAAAGCGATATCCTTATTCCAATACACCAAAGTACCAAACCAAAGAGACCTCAATTAGTAATTCGGAGACTCTCAGCTCTCTAGAATTAGTCTAATGGCTTGAGTTTAACATTTTTCAAACTATCTATCCTCCAGAAGTGACTAATGAGAAGAAAATATAAACTACGTATGCATTTCTAAAAAATGCTAACAAGTAGTATAAGAGAGTAGCAATTTTCATCGACCTTAATCAAACTTAGAACGTCACCAACAAAATAGTAAATCAAGCAAATTGAGAATTTTGATTCCAAAATTTTGTTACACAGAAGCAACCAAGACAAAAGGGAGTCAGAACCCACCAAATCATCGAAACAGAAAAACAATAATTTCAAATAAAATATATTAAATTATAGAATAATAGAGAGAGTGGCAACTTAAAAAATTCTCTGCCAATCAAAGATATTTTCTAGTCTGAATTTGCTCCCCCTTCGATCTTTCTGCATCAAACCATAACAGCTAGGCTTTTCTTGATACATACACTCTCACCAATCTCAACCTCATCACACCACTCAACTATACCCCAAATCTCCCTTTGTTGGTTTATTTCCAAGGAAATCTCCGCAAAAAAGTCACTTCAATGTAACTTTCTTGAGAATGGACCAAAAAAAGTTTCCCACCGCAACTCGCAGTCTCCCACCACCCAGAACCTCTCTTCTTAGACAATAATTCCTCAACACCATTCACCACTCCCCAACACTTCTTCTCTGAATCATACGCTTTTAACTTGTTCTCCACGACATCGTGATAGTACAAAACATCATCAACCACGCAAGCATCATCCCACTTTTTAGCATTCACCATCTCGTCCGTTTCCCACAAAGCATTCATCGCCACAAAGCTTCCGCCGTGAGGCATAGTAAGCGACGGGATATGGAACAAGCAGTGATTTCCGTTGGATTTCCAGCGGAGGATATGCAGTTGGTGACCTTTGTCCCTGTTAAAGAGATGAACGTAGAGAGTATGTTCGGTGCAGCCCAACAAGGCTCGTCTCGCGTATATATGAGGGGATGCAACGAGTGAACGGAAGTGTTTTGAAACGAGGGAGAGTGTTGTATAGTTGCATCTCGGTACACGCGCTAAGATGTCAACGATGACGTCTTCGGGAAGTGACGGAATCAGTGACGACGGCTGTCCCTCCTCTGCCCTAACTTTGGAAGACATGTGTGTGTAGATTTAGGAGAGGGAAGAGAAAAACTCTAGCTTGTTGTGATCCTTAGTATAAATTAAAGCACAGGTATTCAAATAGCAATATATGTGGCACGTCATCTATGATTAGAAGAAAACAAAATAAATAAAAAATGTAAATTAAATATACATAAGTAAAAAAGTAACTAAAAGTTGATTCTTTCATTGGTTAATAACAATATACACATGGATCTCAATCATGATCTAATAAGTGAAACTCGTTCAATTTTTTTGAATAGAAAAGTATATGACGGCTTGATAATTGATCATTCGTCTTCGTCTAGTTTGGTTTCACTACCCTAATGAAAATTAGTACTTCAATATTAATTATGCTTTGTTTTGTGATCTATAGAGCCACGTTTTTAACTTGATAAGAAATCAAATCCATTTTTGTTGACATTCGATGCATTGCTCTTAAGTATAGTAAGAAGTGAGCCAATGATCGATTATAACCAGATAGAGAGATAAGTTTACATATTAAACATGACATCATTTGTAAGAAACGTAGAAAACAGACCCTACAAAATTCCTAGGCTTGGCTGCACATGTATTAAAGAATCAAAACAAATCTTGTTTCACAAGCTAAGGCAAGACATTAATGGATAATGAGTGAGTGACTGAGTGGATACTCCCATGCTTCTAGGTCCATCATTTGCAGATTATGTTTTTAAATCATTGATAAGGAACAAAACTAATTTCAGAAAATCGATATCCTTATTCCAATACACCAAAGCAAAGAGACCTCAACTTTACTAATTCGGAAACTCTCAACTTTCTAAAAATAATCTAATGGCTTGAGTTTAACATTTTTTTAAACTATCTATCGTCCAGAAGTGACTAGTGAGAAAAGAAAATATAAACTATGTATGCATTTCTAAAAAAATGCTAACGAGTAGTATAAGAGAGTAGCAATTTCCATCGACCTTTATCAAACGTATAACGTCACTAAAAGTGGGGTTCATAAAATACAAAATAGTAAATCGAGCAAATTGAGAATTTTGTTACACAGAATTAAGCAACAAGGACAAAAGGGAGTCAAAACACAAGAATTTGAATAATAATAGAGAAAGTAGCAACTAAAAATTATATATAATTGATCAGTTCTCCTTATAAAATATCTTTGATTAATCTCTGCTAATCAAAGATATTTTCTAGTCTGAATTTCCTTTGTTCCCCATCTTCTTCAATCTCTGAATCAACTCTCTCTCTCTTGAATCAAACCATAACAGCTAGAGATTTCAAATATAAACACTCTCAGCAATCTCAACCTCATCACACCACTCAACTTTACCCCAAATCTCCCTTTGTTGGTTTCTTTGCAAGCGAAATCTCCGCAAAATATGTCACTCCAACGAGTTTTCCTTGACGATTGAACAAAAAAGTTTCCCACCGTAACTCACAGTCTTCCACCACCCATAAACTCTCTTCTTAGCCAACAATTCCTCAACACCATTCACCACTCCCCAACACTTCTTCTCTGAGTCATACGCTCTTAACTTGTTCTCCACGTTATCGTAATAGTACAAAACATCATCAACCACACAAGCATCTCCCACTCTTTAGCATTCACCATCTCGTCCGTTTCCCATTTACTTCCCTTTGGCTCGTAAACAATGCTATTCTCATCTTACGATCCCTAAAGTACATCTTATCAGCCATCACCACACATTCACACATCCACATGTAACCTCAGTGTCAATCTTTATCGTCTCAGGCTCCCATGTTTGTGTTTCTGTATTGAACACAACCATCACCTTCTTGTAGAAATCCCAAAATACCCAATCACGTAGATTCTCCCGTCGATGATGTCAGCCTTCGTAACCGCCATGAGCACAGGCATGCTCGGGAGGGGTTGCGCTGTGTGAGATATACAGTCGATGATTAATGATGTCACATGTTGAACACATATATCTTCGAGCCCATCGCGACGTAGCTACCAAATTGAGGCATAGAGGGCAGTGAAGGGATGAGGAACAAGCCTTGATTTCCGTTGGCTTCCCGGCTGAGAATATACAACTGGCCATCATCACAGTTGTTCCTGTTACAGAGGATAACATAGACACAGTTTTCCGTGCAGCCTAACAAGGATCGTCTCGCGTATATCTCACGCGACGCAACGAGAGACCGGAAGTGTTTTGAAACGAGGGAGAGTGTTGGATAGTTGCATCTCGGTACACGCGCTAAGATGTCAAGGATTACGTCTTCGGGAAGTGACGGCGGTGGTTCCGATGATTGCTCTTTCTCTGCCATGATTTTGGAAGACATATGTACAGACTTTAGGGCGCAAAACCCTAATTAATCCTTTATATTGTAAGCACAAGTTAATTGTGCAATCAAATAGCGACATGTGGCAAGTCATCCAGAACAAAAATTAAAGGAAAAATGTAAATAAGATATCATAAATAACGAAAAAAAAATAAAATAAAGCTCACTCTAACAAATTCTTATTTTTTTCTCATCCAAAACTACCAAGATATGTCTTGAATATTCTAAAGCCATTCTGTCTCCTTTTAATTTGTTTTCCCCTCTAAATAAGATTTTTATTACTCTGGATTGAGACAGTCTGAGTACAAAGATGGAGTTAACCACACAACCATTATGTGTCTTTATGTCTGCTTTAACTGGAAATTATATTTCTAGACAAATCTGACACTTGAATAGGCTCAACGCGAGCCAAATAAAGCTTCGAGTCCTCTTCGTATCTGAAAATGAATTTAATCGGCTCAGAAAAATGAGGTTGCCCCGATAACAATGTCACAAATTGGTCACTAGCTCACAAATTTGTGACACTGCCAGCTTTATCTACCAAAATCAATTTTCTGAGCCGAGTAAATAATTTATTTTCTATATACTGAAATTATTTTCGAAATAACCAACCACATTTTTCTCAGAGGACTTCGATACATTCTGATCAGTCAATTTCAGAACTTGTGGCCAATCTATGCAGTCATAAACTCCTTTCGTATAGATATCATGACGCGAACATCGAAACAACAAGGATAGTCCGCAGAATTGAATTTAGTAATTACTTTGAAATCAAGCATGACTTAACCAATAAACATTTTAGCTTAGCCCTTTATGTAGTAGATTTTGAAAATGACATATTCACAGAGTAGGACATTTTCAAATCAAGGATTCATCATATAGTACTTGTCGAATATGTTGGTGTATATATACGGTATATTAAACAATTTGATACGACTGGTGACATTTACAATTGCTTCCCTCATGTTTTTGCTTTCATGATATCTATACACCATTTTCTTTCGGTATGAATAGCAGATTTATTGTTAACGGAAAAAGATAAAGAGAGACTGTGTTTCGAAAGTAAAATCAATAAATTTTGAACAAATTCTTCGTCATTTAAAATCTAAAAACTAGAGTCGCAAGAAGAATACAAAAGCAAGAATCGGATATCAAGCGTAATATTATTTTCTAAATGTGTTAAAGTTTTAATATCAAAATCTCTCATATTTCATACATATAAATATTATTAATATGTGATGAAATGATCTTCAAAACATGCTCAAGGACACTTGGGTCCGCCTTTAGAGTTTTTGATATCGCGATAGCAAGGGCATTCATCTCTGTTTCCATAGGTGCCCGATGGAACACAGTTGTTACACCTCACACAACATATATTGCAATCCTTGATGCACAAGTCATGTTGACTTGCCTTTGAGCATCTCACATTGCATTTTCCACCGCATGCTGCATGTGAAACAATGACAAAGCTTTAGATCCAAATGATAAATTACGTGAAACAATTAGCTAAATCAAATAAACTTACACAAATCAGCGGTTGAAAGCACACAAAATGATGCGAGACGGAAAAAGACTATGGAGAATTGTACAAATTTCATCTTTGTTTTTGGTTGAAATTTGAAGTTTCACTTCTTCTTTGTGTTATCTAAGAAAGAGGAGGAAACAAAAAAAAGTAGTTTGAAAACTTGTGTGAAGATGGGATTGTGGCTACATAGAGAATATTATTTATAGTGCGAAAATCTGAAAGTAAAATGCTTGCTACCATTGTTTTAATTAAGATTAAAAATCAAATAAAGATCTCTTACTTCTTATGTCGTAATCTTTTCGGTAGATTATAATTTATACACAGAATCTAAAACTTGTATGAAATGTAAATTTGTTTCTTATATAAAATATTTTTCATAGCCTTACAGATCTGATAAAAATTATTCTTTATATAATTTTCTTTGTTTGCTGTATGATTTTTTTCCACAATATTTATGTTTGAAATTAAAAAAAAATATAATTTACGAGTTTAATCTGCGTTCCAAAAGATATAATTAAACTTTGTCTGGGCAAACCAGTCAAATTGTCGTGATGGAGAACTCAAATTGTCTCAGTTCTACAAAGTTGATATTTTCTCTCCCAGACACGTTTCACGAGAGGGCTTTTAGTCAACTCCGGTCATTTTCAAACATCCCTTTACCCACTAAATCTTTCCCAAACTAGGTGGTTTTTTCAAATTACCTAGAACCTTGATTGTGTGTGCCCGGGTTTCACCCCCGACTTATAGTCGGAGGGTCCTCCTCGCCGCCGGTAAGCCCTCGTCTCTCTTGGAAACTTGCTCTTCACATCTTCTGCTACGGTTCTACTCCATCCTCTCGAACGTTCGGCTCCATTCATCGCTCTCAAGCAAACCCCCTTGTCTTTTCCACACATTCTGCAATGGCCCGAAGATTCACATATGCAGAAAAGGGGAAAGCTCTAGCCCCGGTTGAATCCTCTCCACCTCGTCCTCGAATCCGAGCCCCAAATGTAGACACGGCTGACCTGATCCAACAAAACGCTCTCACTCTTATCGGACGCCTAACCAACCCACAAGAGCAACGATTGAGATCCATGCTACCATACTTTTCCAACAAATGGGAACTAAGAGGAAACGCCACAGGCTCGGACCTGGGAAACGGCTGTTTTCAATTCAGATTCGACTATGTGGAAGACCTAAAGAAAGTACTCGAAAATCGACCCTACCAGTACTCCAGATGGATGGTTATCTTAGAGAAGTGGGAACCAGTTATCTCGCCATCTTTTCCGTCAACAATCCCCTTCTGGATCTCCCTCCGGGGCTTACCACTCCACTATTGGAAGAGAACTTCTCTACAGTATAGGCGATGCAGTAGGCTACCTCAAGTCTTACGAAATCACCTCCACAGCCGCGAAAATCAGGGTTGAAGTTAACGGCCTCGAACCAATAACAAAAGAAGCCATCGTTGAGTTCGAAGGAGGAAAAGAAGCTCTCGTCACACTGGAATACCACAAGCTAAATAAGCACTGCCTATACTGCCACAAGCTCACCCACGAGGAGGAAGACTGCCCGACAAACCCCCAAGCTCGCCGTTTACACCAAACAACCAGATCTGACCCAAACACTATACCAAACCACCTCAAACTTCCTTTCTTTACCAACCAAGACAATAACCACATCTCCCGCTCAAGACCTAACTACAACAACATCTCTAGAGACAGACTCTCCCCTGTAAAACCCTCTCGGACTCATACCCCACCGAGGTCACATATTTTCAGAGACCCTCGCAAATCACCAACCCACAACAGCCACCGCATCCCAAATACATCTCCTCCTTACCGAAGAGAACGACGAGGAGACTATAGAAACAGAGGAGACGGAGAAGGAAGAGCTCGTGCGAGTAGAAGAATGTCACTTCCAAACCCGAGAGGGACCTTTGAAGAACCAAGGCGTTACTCCACGAAACCAAGTGTGGAGAGAAAAGTCACGACGCAGACCAGAAACAACGGAGGACAACTTTGCAATGCACCAACGCACTCAAACCCCCGTTGGACGCAACCTGGACCAAGATGACTTCCCCACACCACCACCCACCTAGATACCAAACAGAGGAGGAGATCCGCCAAGACCTCCGAGAAGTGGATATCCGATATATTAACTGTGGGAACCCTTCAGAGAGTGCAACTCGGAGGCAGAGAGTCCTTGAAACGGAGGCCAATGGGCTAACAGACGCAACAGTGGACCGCCTGTTCAATGATCCTTCCAAGCTAATCCCTAGAGCGTCTGAACGTCCAGAGAATCTTCTACCCATTCCCCAAGCCTCATTACCGCCTAGACCACAAAACCCAACTGCTGAAACCACTATCACCAACACAGTGGGAGAATCAGAAAGAGACCTCGTTCTGGGCCAAACAAAGAAGAGAAGAGGGAGACCGCCTTCAAAAACCTCCGCTACAGCGCCTCAAAAGAACCTAACGGCAGGCACAAGCAAGCAAAAAACAAAGAATCAGCTTAAATCTCCTCTACTAAGGATGTCTCCTTTATCAAGAGTTATACATAACAGAGGTACCTCAACCCCTCAATCCCAAAGCCAAAGGAGAAACAACAACGATTCAAGACAGCAAACAGGAAGCTTACCACCACGCACACGAGCAATCCCAACGAGACTTCAGGATGGAGCGGATTTTCACAATCCGTCAAATCCTCTTCCTTAGCGATATTGAGTTGGAACTGTAATGGGTTGGGGAACCCCACTACAGTTCATCGATTGACAGAGCTGCAGAAGAAAAACGATCCTGATATTATCTTCCTCATGGAGACAAAAAACAATGAAGACTTTATCACTAAACACCTACCTCTTGTGGACTATACCACCCGTTTCCTAGTCCCACCACATAGCCCAGGAGGAGGAGGACTTGCGCTCTACTGGAAAGCACACGTGAACCTCTCAGTCTCTTTTTTCCTGCAACAACTACATAGACACGAAAATCTATTACAAAGGCAAGTTGTTCTTCACCACCTTTGTGTATGGTGAACCAGACCACTCGAAGAGAAAAGCCGAATGGGAAGAACTCACAAGTATAAACGAGAGTCGAGACTCACCATGGTTCCTGACGGGGGATTTTAATGATATCCTCGACCACAGTGAAAAGATGGGAGGGCCCCCGAGAGCAGAAGGCACTTTCGGAGAGTTTAGAGCCTTCTTTTCGCAAAACGATCTCTATGATGTACCACACTCCGGGAATGCCCTATTGTGGAGAGGAGTCCAAGGAACCCACCTTGTCCACTGTCGCCTAGACCGAGCCCTATCAAACGGACTCTGGGCCGAGACCTATCATGCAAGCAGATGCTTCTACTTGGATTATGAAGGCTCAGATCATCGTCCACTCCTAGCTATCCTAGAACCACACCTGAAGAAGAAGAAAGGAATATTTCGTTATGATCGAAGCATGAAAGATAACAAAGAAATAACGAAGATAGTGGAGGAAGCATGGAACTTATCTGAAGAAGCTAACAGTAATGGAGAGAATCTCACACTGCAGAAGAGCAATATCGCAATGGAATCATGAAAACCACAAAAACTAGCAACAAACCATCCAGACGGACAAGAAAAACCTGGAGGCAGCAATGGCATCAGGGGAGGGAGACCAAGCAATCATTCTGGAAATAAACCAAAGATTAAAAGTGGCTTACCAAAAGGAGGAGGACTACTGGAAACAGAGAAGCAGAACTCTCTGGCTCGCTCTTGGGGACAAGAACTCTGGATTCTTCCACGCGATGACAAGAGGACGAACTGCAATCAACAAGCTAGCAATCTTAGAAGATAAGAATGGTGTTGCAGTTTATGAGGAAAGCAAAATACTAGAAGTTATTAGCTCTTATTTCCAAGACTTGTTTATTACCCATTCATCACCTTGTTCGGAAACAGTAAACCAAGCTCTACAACCCTGCATCTCACAAGCAATGAACGATGCCTTGATAGCAGACCCCTCAGCTCTGGAAATCAAAACAGCTCTCTTCTCAATCAATCCAGACAAAGCTCCAGGCCCAGATGGCTTCTCTGCAGGGTTTTTCCAAACGAATTGGTCAGTGATGGGACCACAGATAGTAAAAGAAGTGCAAGAAATCTTTGATGAGAGAACCATCCCTAGCTCTATCAATTCTACCTTTGTGAGACTCATTCCAAAGGTCACAAGCCCAAAAACAGTGGCGGAGTATAGACCTATTGCCCTATGCAATGTCTACTACAAAATCATCTCAAAAATCCTGACTAGAAGACTCCAACCAATCCTACCTACAATTATCTCCGAAATCCAAACGGCTTTTGTCCCTGAAAGAGCAATTTCAGACAATGTCCTAATTACTCATGAAACCCTTCATTACCTTAAGTCTTCTGGAGCAACGAAGTACTGCTCCATGGCTGTCAAGACAGACATGAGCAAAGCTTACGATAGGCTTGAATGGAGCTTTAACCTCGCGGTCATGGAGAGAATGGGCTTTCACCAGAAATGGATCAACTGGATCTTTCAATGCATATCCACGGTCTCTTATGCGTTCCTCATCAATGGAGCAGCTGCGGGACGTGTAGATCCATTGCGAGGTATCAGACAGGGAGATCCCCTATTGCCTTTCATCTTTTTCTTGTGCACTGAAGTTCTGTCAGGCCTCTTTAAAAAGGCACAAGAAAACGGATCAATGCCAGGAATAAGCGTTTCAAGACAAAGCCCTAAGATTAACCACTTACTGTTTGCTGACGACACCATATTCTTCAGTAAGACAAACCCAAGAAGCTGCGAAACCCTCTGCTCCATCCTGAAGAAATATGAAGAAGCGTCAGGACAACAAATCAATCTCCAAAAATCCTCCATCACCTTTTCCCGTAAAACACCTCAGGATATACGAGAACGAGTCAAGGTACCGCTGGGAATTAACAAGGAAGGGGGACAAGGGAAATACCTAGGTCTACCAGAGAGCTTTGGTCGACGAAAGAAAGATCTTTTCACTCTAATTGTGGACCGAGTCCGTCAGAGAGCCATCAAGTACTCCTCACGTTTCCTCTCAATGGCAGGCAAGATGACAATGATCAAATCCGTCCTCTCAGCCATCCCTACGTATGCCATGTCTTGCTTCAAGCTTCCAGCAGGCCTCTACAAACGCATACAGTCAGCTATTACTCGATTCTGGTGGGATACAACTTTGGGGAAAAAGAAAATGAGTTGGATTTCATGGACAAGACTCACCAGATCAAAGAAACAAGGAGGACTCGGATTTAGAGAAATCCAGAGCTTTAATGACTCACTGCTGGCAAAGATAAGCTGGAGAATCCTCCAAAACCCTTCTTGCCTTCTCAGTAAAGTCCTCCTCGGCAAATACTGCAAAGACAAGACCTTCCTCAATGTCCCCATTACCACCTCCACGTCCCATGGTTGGCGTGGAATCTTCATTGGACGAGATCTCCTCAAAACCTGACTCGGAAGAGCTATCGGAAACGGGCTTACCACATCACTGTGGGACGACCCATGGCTATCGCTATCATCACCATCTAAACCAATTGGACCAGCCCGAAACCTGGACCAGAACCTGAAAGTAGCAGATTTGTTTTCAGAACAATCTACTGAATGGGATATCGAGAAGATTGCAGAAATCTTACCAGCTCACAGTGACGAAATTAAAGCGCTAAGACCAAGCAGAAGTGGCGCCTCAGACTCATACATCTGGCTCCCAACAAAGTCAGGCGACTACTCGGCAAAGACAGGCTACTACACAGCCATGGAGTTAAGCTCCGACCCTGACCACAATCAAAACCATTAGCAACTGAACTGGAACACAGACATTTGGCATACAAAAGTCTCACCCAAATTGAAGTTCTTCCAATGGAAAATAGTGCAAGAAGCCTTACCCTTAGGCGAAAATCTCCTCAATCGCGGAATCCTGGATAACGCCTACTGCGTCTACTGTGGCGAGCTGGAAACAACGGAACATCGATTCCTTCATTGCGATTTCACAAAAGCGGTTTGGAACTTGGCCCCATTCTCCATCACTATTGATCCCCGAGCCCTCCAAAGCTTCACCAACACCCTAGTCTCTTCAAAGGAATGGATCTGCCTCCCACCAACCAGAATTGGAGCTGGATCTCTATTCCCCTGGATTTGTTGGGCACTTTGGAAATCCCGAAACCACCGGATCTTTGAAGATTGATCCTTCTCCCCCGTAGAAACTTTGAACAAAGCCATTGTGGAAGCAAGAGAATGGCAGCAAGCGCAAAAGGAACCTGAGAACCCGCCAACGAGACCACCACAATCGAATCAAGTCGCGATCCAACCAAATACAATCTCCTGCTTCACAGACGGCGCTTGGAGTGAGGAAAATGGAATAGGAGGCTTCAGTTGGGTTTTCGCAGATGATTCTGGTACAATCATCGATTCGGGACAAGGAGCAGAACGGTTTGTCTCCTCACCATTCATGGCCGAAGCTCTGGCGATCCGATCGGCGTTTCACCATGCAATAGAGAAGGGCTTCTCCAAGATCCATCTCAAATCCGATGCTTAGGACCTCGTCCGAGCCATCTCACAGCAAGAGTAAGTCAAAGAGATCTATGGGATCCTCTTTGACATCAAAACTCTCGCATCAAGCTTCAAATCGATTAGATTCAGCTCCATTCCTCGATCGCAAAATTTTGTGGCCGATAGATTCGCAAAACATGCAAAACTTGATTTGTCTCTCCTTTCTCTAACTGGGACCCACCCAATTGTAGTTGTTGGCCACGTTTAATGAAATGGGAAGTATGTGTTGTTAAAAAAAAAAAGAACAACTCAAATTCAAACTCATGCATGACGTGTACATATGACTAGATTTTTCGTAGTGGAAGAATTCAAACATTTGAAGAAATATGCACTAAGAAGACGATTAGACGATAAATATACAGTTGTTATTCTGTAAGTAACATTATACTATCATATAGACGTACAAAAAAGTTAGATTTATCTTCAAAAGAATTCTATACACACACACACGCTAACACGCACACAAATAAAACACGATTCTTTGAATCATACCCTTTTGCAAATAAATGTTTCCAAAAAATCAAAAAAAAAAATGATGAACATTACGTTTGTGTTATATACTGATGATAAACACATTCGTGTAAGAAAACATGAGGGCATTGGCATAACTAAGATAATTGGCATAACTAAGGGCATTGACAAGTCGAGGCCATTGTTAACAAGGTTTGATATGAATTTATGTTGCAAAAGCAATTTCTTCACAAATGATCTCGTGAAGGCTCTCTCATAATTTATTCGTTGGCTTTGGTTTTCCTTATAAATGATATTTTGGTTTGTACATTGATTAGACGTTATGAGTATCACTGTATCAGAGTATGACAAGTAGATTGAGAATATCGATCGATTCCATAATTTTTGATACACAGAAGCTAACATATAAACAAAATAAAACGATAATTTCAAATAAAATACATTGAATCATAGAGATAGCAACTCAAAAACTTATATAATTGTACTAATTTCTCCTATTGAATATCTGCTAATCAAGTATCAAGTATCAAGAATAACTTCTAGTCTGAACTTCGTTTTTCTCTCTCAAACTATAACATCTAGAGATTTTACAACATGAACACTCGTAGCAATCTCAACCGCATCCACCACTCAACTTTACCCCAAATCTTCCCTTTGTTGGTTTCTTTCCAAGGAAATCTCCGCAAAATATAAGTCACTCCAACGAAACTGTCTTCAGTATGGAACAAAAAAAGTTTCCCACCGTAACTCGCAGTCTCCACCACCCAGAACTCTCTTCTTAGCCAAAATTCCTCAACACCATTCACCACTCCCCAACACTTCTTCTCTGAATCATACGCTCTTAACTTGTTCTCCACGTCATCGTGATAGTACAAAACATCATCAACACACAAGCATTCTCCCACTCTTTAGCATTCACCATCTCGTCTGTTTCCCATTTACTTCCCTTTGGCTCGTAAACAAGCTATTCTCATTATCCCTAAAGTACATCTTACCACCCATCACCACACATTCACACGTCCACATGTCAACCTCAGTGTCAATCTTTATCGTCTCAGGCTCCCATGTTTGTGTTTCTGTATTGAACACAACCATCACCTTCTTGATTGAAATCCCAATATACCCAATCACGTAGATTCTCCCGTCGATGATGTCAGCGTTCGTAACATCCATGACCACAGGCATGCTCGGGAGGGGTTGCGCTGTGTGAGATATACAGTCGATGCTTAATGATGTCATATTGTTGAACACATATATCTTCGAGCCCATCGCGACGTAGCTACCAAATTGAGGCATAGAGGGCAGTGAAGGGATGAGGAACAAGCCTTGATTCCGTTGGCTTTCCGGCTGAGAATATACAGTTCGTGATCACCGTTTCCTGTTAGAGAGGACAACATAGAGACAGTGTTCGGTGCAGCCTAATAAGGATCGTCTCGCGTATATCTCACGGGACGCAACGAGAGACCGGAAGTGTTTTGAAACGAGGGAGAGTGTTGGATAGTTGCATCTCGGTACACGCGCTAAGATGTCAACGATGACGTCTTCGGGAAGTGACGGCGGTGGTTCCGATGATTGCTCTTTCTCTGCCATGATTTTGGAAGACATTGTGTATAGACAGACTTTAGGGCGTAAAACCCTAATTCATCGTTTATATTTAAATTGTAAGCACAAGTTAGTTGCTCAATCAAATAGCGACATGTGGCAAGTCATCCAAAATCAGACCAAAAATTTAATGGAAAAAATAAATAAATAAGCTCAATCTAACAAATTCTTAAGTGGTTGGTGCCTTGGTGGTATACTGGTATAACTTCGATATGAGATTCCGATTTTATTTATAGCTCCTAGGACTAGAATGATTTGTGTTTGTATTGTTATGTGTTTCTTGGACCAACGAAATGTGGGTTTTGGTTTGTGCTGAAGAAAGAGGTCGTTTTGGCTCGTGAGGATATTAGCTCACTTGAGTTTGAGTTGGGAGTCATTGCATCATTTGATTACTGGACTGGTGAGAGTCTTTAAGTCTCGTTTGTTTCAAGTCATATTATGAGCAAATGATGAAGATAACCAGTTTTTGCTCTCTCTTCCAAACTCAATTTGGTCCAATCTGTTGTAGCAATGGCACAGATGGAGGAGCAGCCACTGTGAAGAGAATTGGTATAACTAAGGGCATTGACAAGTCGAGGCTATTGTTAACAAGGTTTGATGAACTTTGCAAACCAATCTTGTTCTATAAAAGAAATGTGAATGCGCGCAGGGCTGCTTCAGCTATGTATTGATGTGGACGTTTTCCTCATGGCGGAATGTAGATAACAACAACCAAACTCTTACTTATATACAAATAGTCTCGTGAAAGCTCTCTCTTATCATTTATTCGTTGGCTTTGGTTTTCTTTCTTAATGATATTTTGGTTTCTGGTTTCTACGTTGCTTAGACAGGTAGCATCATTTCTTCAGCCAAATTGAGAATATCCATCGATGCAATAATTTTGATACACAGAAGAACATAAACAAAAAGGAGCCAAAACCCTCAAAATCATTGGAACAGATAAAACGAGTATATCAAATAAAATATATTGACTTATAGAGTTCGCAACTCAAAAATAATTTCTCCTATTGAATCTCTGCTAATCAAGAAACAAGAATAGTTTCTAGTGTGAATTTCCTTTTTCTCCTCAATCTTCCATCTCCAAGAACTCTCTCTCGTTTTGAATCAAAGCATAACAGCTAGATATTCTAAAATATGAACAGTCTCAGCAATTTCAACATCATCTCCGCAAAAAAGTCACTCCACCGTAACAAATCAACGAGGAAAAGAGTAGTTTTTTTTCATAAGCAAGAAACAAGAACCACAAAATCCAGCAAAGGTCGAGTTTAATAAACCTAAAATGTCGATAACCAAAAAAATCCAAGAAATTCAAAAACAGAAGATAGCAAAACTCCATCACACGATTCTAACCCCAGAGAACAAAACAGATACGTCGTCAATCAGAGGGCTTTATCACATGAAAAGGTTGGGTTTGGAGGCCTTGAAAGTGGTCTTGAGCTTCCTGGTTGGTGGTCTCACCTTGCGGAACACCAACGGGAACTTGATCTTGCTGTTGTGGAACTGCTTGGTGCTCTCTCTCTTGCACAGCTTGGCCGGGACAGTGGCTGTCTTGATGATCTGAATGCAAGGGAACCTCACACGGTGACGAGAAGCCATCTCCGTGTACATCTGCTCTACAGCTCCGTTCAAGGTCGTGTCACGGAACTCCTTGTACATGTTGTGGTATCCAGTCCTGCTCTGGTACCTCAACCATATCCCAAAGTTCTTGATGGTTGTCGGGTTCTTCTCAAAGATCTGCAAAACAACATTTTGGCAAAATGGATTACAATCTAGAACCAAAAGGGAGAGACTTTACGGAATCTAAGCTTCCTAGTTACATGAGACGGCATAAACTAAAACTACTAACCAGAGAAATGTTTGAAATCAGGGATTACGAGTAATTACATTGTTAAATTAAAGCTGAAGCATTCAAATCATTTCACTACGTGCCCTAACAGAAGCATTCAAATCCGAAATCGAACTCGAGAAATCAAAAACCCAGATACCGAAAACAACAAATTCTCCGACTTTCTGACTTCACTCTCTCTGAGAATAACAGATATAAGAAAAGTCTTATCCTTTTAACAATTTACCTCATTAATGGCGAGCATCTGACCATTGCTCTTCTTCACCTTCTTCAGCTTCCTCAAGAAGTACCTATTTTTTCAGGATCCGGTTAAAGATTCAATTCAGCAAGCTACGAAGGGGAAAAAATCGAGAAGTGAGAGAGGTGAAACAAAATCACTAACCAGAACTTGGACTTGGCGCGAACCTCGTTCGTGGCCCAAAGCTTCATCCGGTAGATCTTGGGGTGTTCATCTTTCTCTGTAGGGAGAGCTCTTCCGACGACCTGGTACTGGTGAAACTGCGAAGGAGGAGACAAAAAGACAAAACCGATATCAGATTCGGTGAAAAGCCCAAACTTGATACAGCAACAATGGCAAGGAATCAAGAGAGTAGCGAGCTTACCCTGAAAGCACCCATTTTCGTTTCGATTGGCGGTGGAAACCTCAAGCGGCTAGGGCTCTTGTTGTTTATAAATGAGCGTTTGCAAAAACCCTAATGGGCCTATATTTATAGAACATGTCTTTCCACTTAAGGCCCAATTACTATGGACACGGAAAGAGGTATTCGAGATCGTTGAGGTGGTTTCGTTTCAACATAAATTAATGAATTCTTTTGTGGGAGCTGAACAATTCTAAAAGCACAAGTAAACGAATATATAAGCACAAGTAATATAAAAGCACAAAGAGAAAATTACAGTAGTTTGCTAAAGTTGCTGACGAGGTTGTTGAGGCGGAGATGAAGAAACGAGTGATTTCTTGCAATTCTGGGAATGTTGTTGTATTAGTTGAATGTGCCATGTTAGAGAGATTAGTTTGTCGATGGGACTCAATAAGCAAACATTAGGCAGAAACAACTTTATGGCAGAAACAATGCTTTTTTTTGCTAAATGAAACAATGCTTGAACAGAGTCCCATCGAAACAGAAGAAGCTGATGATCAACATTTATGATATAGAGTTTGAACAGACTTTCTTGGCAAGAGAGGTTCCACAAAAGTAATACCAATGTTATAAACGTCTTAAGCCAATTTTATACAAGTTTTATCCCAAAACCAGCAATCACAACAATTGAAATAACGCAATCAAACTCCAACATGTTCTCTAACGTTCAAACCTCCTCGCTCTTATCTTCAGCCATTGTCATATCCGATACAACAACACGAGCTCCTTCGTTGCTAGATTCAACTTGGTCATCCTCAAGTGACTTTTGAGGCTGCTGCGGTTCCACATCATCTGATGTATCATCTAGGGCTGGCGAATCTGCTTCAGCTGAAGGAAGTTCGATACCAACTCGGACATTCTCAGATTCAGGACTCTTACTTTCAACCGATTCTTCGTTTACTTCAACAAGATGATCGTCGGATGAGGCTTTGTCATTCTCGCCTGTAAGAGCTTCTTCTACGAGAGATGGCTTCACTGTTTCCTCTTCAACCTCTTTGCTGCTGTCAACGGAGTCTTCTACTGTGGTGTCAGCGTCACGGTCAGATGCAAGGTGTTGATCATCAGCTTCTTCTTCTGCAAGCTGTGAATGATTTGTCTCATCCTGAATAGAAGAAGAGCTCTCAGGAAAGCCAGGCTCCTCTTCAGCAACACTTTCTGTCTTTGACTCTGTCCCTTCAGGATTTGTAGAAGCAGGAAACGACTGGAATGTGTCCCAATCATCATCATCATCATCTTCGTCTTCATTTTCTTCGTCAGTTACGGTTTCTACTGAGCTAACCTGATTGAATGATGTTGGCACAGTGGACAATGTCTCTGCTTTAACCATATCATCAGCAGAAGAGGTAACTTTTGCAGGTGTTGCTACCACAGGTGCTGGTAGTTTGATATCCATTGGTGGAACCAAGGATTTTGGCTTTTGAAGGGCGCTATCTTGAGAGACAGAAGAACGGATAATATCCTGACATCAAAAGGACAGGATGCCAATAAGATGGTTTCAGATTGTGGCATGGAAAATGCTTAAACGCATAGTAAAGCAAAAGTTCAGTTGAGAAAACGCATAGTAAATCAAAACCTGAAGCTGCTGCCGGTGGGATGTTGGCAGCGACAACAAAACATCCTTAAAGAGAAGAGCTGAAGAAGACAACTGAGCTAGATGGGAAATAAGCCGCACAGCTACATTTCTCAACTCTAGGACTTCCTGCTATGGATCAATATAAACAAAACAATAAGTTAAAGTCTACGAACTGCCTTAAGAGGGAGCAATTTTACAGGCCGGGGTAGGAATGGAACCTGAGAAACGCCATCTGATGTCTTAGAGAAAATCACAAGAACGGATTCAAGAAAAAGGCTCATGAATCCCCTCTGAAGTTCATCAACAGTTGATTGTGTCTGGAGGAGCACTATGAACCGCAAGCATTCACCAGCTATAACCACCGATTCCTTATTCATAGGTTTCTATCCAAGAGAATAAGACATAAGTCAGTTATTATAGTTTTTCATAGGACGTCAAATTTGCTTTTTGTCTACTAGAGTGTAAATTCTGTTGAAAATAGAATAAAAAAAAAAACGAGAAGACAACCTGAAGGGCCCTCTGCATCAGACTGACAATATCTCCAATAAGTTCCCCAACAAAGAAGATCACAAAACTTTTCTCCTCTGGGTTGTTGCAACGCTGTACCAAGCTTTTTAGCACTTGTAAGGCAGTAGCTTGAACCTGGAGATATTTGAATCAATATAGTAAAGAGCATGATAATTACTTAATTAGTGGCTGAACTAATATATGGCAAGATGACAAGTTCTCAGTTACCTGCATATTGGAATCTTTAACCACTGCTGCTATACTAATGTGGCAACTCTTCAACATGGCAATACAGATAGAGTTGGTATCAGTTTCATCTCCTGGACAATCAAACTCATAAGCAAGCTTAGCCAGTGAAAAAAGTTGTTCCAGACAGAATGCAAGCTTCAACTGGAAAAGCTTGCGTAACCCTGATCTCTTGTTGTCCATAAGATGGATACCGTTGATACAATCTTTAGTCAGATCACCAACCACGTGCAGACAAGCACCAAAGATTGCTCTTAGATGGAAGTCACTATCGGCAGCAAGACTAGTGGCATCTGCAATAAACGTTATGATTAAACATCTTTATCACTAACTTTTCAATGTTCCAAAAAAAGAAGCAAAAGCTTCCAGTTGCAGCACATCAACTTCGCCATTCTGCATATGTGACTTCGTGGATCTCATAAAACAGATAGAAAGCATAAAGATCTATATTGGATGTAACGTCAAAAAAAATCTAACCTATCACAGAAATTTGATACCATCTAATAGCCACCCTTAATCAGCCTAGGTATAGCTAAAATGATAACAGCTTTTATTTATCATATTATCACATCAGCTGTGGATTCAATTTACATACCAGTTTTAGATTCTTGTGACGAGGTTCTGGTAAGCTTAAGCAATAACTCATTGGTGGACTTCACAATCTCAAGAGCTTTTGGTAAGTAAGCATCACTGTGGACTTGCCGGATGCACTTGTACCCACATAATAGTAATGCCAATGGTGCCGACTTTAAACGATACTGCATTGTACAAGCAATCATCAATTAGATGTAAGGAGTGGAACAAATAAAACATAAATCTAGAAACAAAAAAAACCCTTCAACGTTTGTAAGTTACCTTCAACTCAAAACGTGCCAAGAGTGTCTTTATGGAGATAAATAAAGAAGACAGCAAATTGTCCCAAATGTCATCATCTGGCGAAGTTTCATCATGCCTGAAACAGAAAAGAGACGCCTTTGTTACGGTTTCTTCCAGATGCAATTCAGTATATTTCCCCCGACATGATTTTTCAGGTTCAAAATAATCAGAACTGGACACAGCTTCTAAAAATATCTTAGTAAGTGCGCACCTGTCGAGAATTTTGAACAGGTACCCCAGACAGAGTTCAATGGTCGAGTAGGCAAACTGCTCACTTTCAAGAAACTCTGTTGGACAGTTCTGTGATATCTGTTGAAATGTGAAAATAAACTCATATCAGAAGTTGCATCTTTTCTAATGCATAAGGCATCTACAGTCATGAAATACTAATCAAGAATCAGTTGTTACAAGGAAACTCATCTAAAAGTGGAATAATGACCATGAAATATGTAATCTATGTTGCTATGCTGATGGCACAGTAACTCTCCAACAAAGGAATATTTATTTTTTGTTCCAACTAAGTAAAGGGAAGATGGAACAAAGCAGAATACAAATATACAAACGTTCTTGAACCTTATTTCCAATCTTAGGAAAAGTGAATAATTACAAGCTAAGAATGATGCTCTAGAGCCTAAACTTCCAATGAGAAGTGATGGTTTCAGTAACATCAACAAAAATTGTACCTGCTGTACTACGGATACTGCAAGAATATCCCACGAACTGTCCATATGGAAGGAATACGACAAAACCTGGATGAGTTACAAAAGTAAAGTGAATCCAATTAGATTAGTGAATAACTAAACAATATTAGCAGCCTATTACACAAAGAAAAATGTGGGGTGGAGTGGATCTGCACAAATCACAAGTATTATATGTTTCAAAGAAAGAGCATGTGATTGCTTCAACCAATGTTAAATCCTTTCATTTGCTGATAATTTAAGAATTACAACAGAATAGCGTGAGGAAATAAAATATTTGAAGTGTACTTACTTGAAATAGTTCCTGGCAGAGATCTATGCTAAGAAAGCTGCTGGTGAAAAATCTTTCAGCAGAAAGAGATTGGAAAACTGGTAATGCAATTTCATATAAATTTAGACCCTGGAACGAAGATTCCTTGATGCTGGAGTCTCCACTATATTTGATTTTAGCCGAGCCAAAGGGTACTACTTGTGTCTCAGAGACTGGATGCATCCCTTGAAATAAGACAAGTGCAGCGAAGCCCCATAGAAACTGATAATCTTCAACCTCTAGTGTAACCATGCGATGACTAGATATTAAGGACCTATCAGAATGTCCTTCTACACTATGATTCACAGGAATTGCATCCAGGACTAAAGCTTGTAGGATCACAGGCCATGCTTCTTCCAAACAAGGCTGTAGCCTTCTCGACACAGTATGTGGCGGGATTTCATCTAAGAATGAGCCCTGTTGCGGCAAGTCAAAGATATTATTAGAAGATACGTGAGCACAAAAATAGAAGTGTTCATTTAAAGAGAGAAAACAGGACATTTAAGTGGTTGACTCACACTTCTTTTGACGTTCTGACATAAGCAAACATAACTGTATCCCCTTAAGACCTGAATCCAGTACCTACCGAGCAGGTCTGAACTCTTGGAAAACAAAGGCAACAGCGCTTCAAATTCTACTGGCCCCTCACCATGGTGTTTTCTCAAGAATGTAAATATGTAACACTTAAGCGAGGCATGTGCTGTAAGGAGCCTGATCTTGATCTACGTTGCAAGAACAATTCTACTCAGTGAAAGTCAAATGAAATTTA